AACAACAACAACAACAACAACAACAACAACAATTTCACTCAGCATAATGTCCTCTAGGTTTGTCCATATTATGAGGTGTTTTGCAGATTCATCAAACTTTTGCATGCACATATTTTTCTCCCTGAATTACCCTCCCCTCATCCATTGCTCTCTTACCCCCCTCTGCCTCATTCCTATTCATCTTCCAGGATCCTGATTTTCACTTTCAATCAAGAGCACCTCCACTGGAGATCTTTCTGGCTGCTCCAATCAGAGTTAGTTGTTCCACCTCTGGTTTCCATAACATTTACTCCAAGGGTCTGTGTCCCCCACTTGACTTAGTGCTAGTGTCTCCTTACTTGATCATGTTCCAACTTGACCATAAAGCCCTTGAGAGAAAGATGGGTGTTTTATCCATCTACACAGATTGTCCATTTGCGTGGATTACCTGTCATGTAATAAGTGTTCAGCAGAAGTTTGTCACAGGAGTGAACACTTAACTTCTGAAGGACAACATCTCTGAATTTTAAGAGAATAAGGAGAAAGGCTTAAATTAACACCAGACTTTTAAAAACGCCTCTTTGACACAAAACGAAAATGAACTTGTTAATGATAGGATAAGATATCAGGGTATAAAAAACTCAACCTCCTAACTAATGGAGAGGCAGCAGAAATCAGGGCAGGAGGAGGAACAGGGGGACCCTGGGGCTGGAAAAGACCATCAGGAATGTCAGAAACTTGTCAGATCTTGAGGGTTCCATGTTGCTTTTGAGAGATCTCTGAGGAGCTTTACAATGCATTGTGACCTGTATTTGGGGTTTCATCTCTTATCCCACATTGCTCTTGCATGGTGGCAGGGAGGTGGTGGTGGTGGTAGGGGTGAAGGTTGTTGTTATTCTGACTCATTGAGACCCCCACATACAACAGAACAAAACACTGCCCAGTCCTACGCCATCCCCACAATTGTTGCTGTGTTTGAGCCCATCGTTGCAGCCACTGTGCCAGTTCATCTCATTGAGCATTTTCCTCTTTTTCACTGACCCTCTACTTCACCGAGCTTGATGTCCTCCTCCAGGGCCTGGTCCCTCCTGAGAACATGGCCAAAGTAAGTGAGATGAAGTCACACCAGCCTTGCTTCTAGGAGCATTCCGGCTGTACTTCCTCCAAGACAGATCTGTCTGTTCTTCTGACAATCCATGGTATATTCAACATTTCTTGTCAATACCGTAATTCAAAGGCATCAGTTCTTCTTCAGTCTTCCTTATTCATTGTCCAGCTTCCATATGCTTATGAAGTGATAGAAAATATCATGGCTTGGGTCAGGCACACATTAGTCCTCAAAGTGATGTCTTTGCTTTCTAACACTTTAAAGGGATCTTTTGCAGCAGATTTGTCCAATGCAGTAAATCCTTTGATTTCCTGACTGCTGCTTCCATGCGTTGATTGTGCATCCAAGTGCAATGAAATCCTTGAGCATTTCAGTAGTTTTTCCTTTTATCATGATGTTGCTTATTGGTCCAGTTGTGAAGACATTTATTTTCTTTATGAAGTGTTATCCACACTGAAGGCTTTGATCTCCATCAGTGAGAGCTTCACACTCCTGCTCTTTGGGTCTTTGTCAACAGTCACATCTCATCTTCTCAGGTCACCTCTTTATGGGGCACATTCTCACTTTCTATCTGCAAAGGATAAGGGACAGAAGGGATCCTTGAAAGACTTACGTCATGGATTGGGAAGCACTTTGCTATTCGCGGAGACAACTCCCAGCTTCGTCCCCCAGGTTTGTTGGTGTTCATACTGGAGGAGAATAATGGTGGATAGACAGGTCCCAGGGGGATCGGCAGCTTCCAATCTGTTCCAAGGAAGCAGGGGGAGAGAATTGCTACACTGTAGGGTTCCCTTTAGGGTGCTTGCTTCTTCCCCCACTAGACCGGGTTTGATTAGTTTGTGGCAGTCCCCACAGCAAATAGGACAGAGGCTGGAGCAACTGAGAAGCAAGCAGCCCCTCAACCCAGAGCCAAGAAGGAAAGCCCTTGCTAGGAGATAATGGAATCTCTGTGGTATTCTCACTTGCTTTCCTGGAAGCTCTGAGAATGTGATAAACATGGTGGGCCATTCTCTTTGCCAGGAATATCATTAGTAAGGTGCTCTGCTAATACCACATGGGTTTATTGGGTTCCCACTCTTGGGGTTTAACTGAATGGAGGAGATCATTAGGTGTTCCAACAAGGTTGTTTAATTCAGTTAATTAAACAATCACTTGTGTAACCCTCCCCTTCTCTGCTTTTACACAGGATTGTTCTTTTACCTTAATGCAGGGCCAGCAAACTTTTTGTGTGGAGAGCCAGATAGTAGATATTTTAGGCTTTGTGTACCGTGCAATCTGTGTTACAACTACTTGGTGTGGGCAAAAGTAGACATAGTAAAAACTTCAGTAAAAACTTATGTATCGAAGGTGAAATTTGACTTTCAAATAATAGTTACATGTCACAAAATATTATTCTTCTTTTGATTTCTTTTCCAACCATTTAATAATGGAAAACTGTTCTTGGCGCACGTACACACACACACACACACACACACCCCAAAACTAGGTGCCATTAGGTCGATTCTGACTCATGGCAACCCCATGTGTTTCAGAGAGAACTGCTCCTCATAGGGTTTTATGTGGCGGTGATCTTTTGGAAGTAGATTCCCAAATCTTTCTTCCATGGCCCCTCTCAGTGCATTCAAACTGCCAATCCTTCAGTTAGTAGGTAAGCACTTACCCATTTGAACCATAGAAACAGGTGACAGGACAACTTTGGCTCGTGGCTCATGTGTAGTGAAATGAGGTCATTTACGTGGCCTTTGCCTTGGTTCTTTGGAAAAACAACTTAAGAGATTTTCCAGCTAAGCCTGGAGGAGTTGCCTTTGGGCTGGTCTTCTACTCCAATGGGTCAGTTACTTTTGTCCGGGTTGAGTGACAGTTTGTGAGTTAGCTGTAAACAGCTTGGTTCAATACTCCTGTTTAGTGTTGGGCTGCAGCCTGCCCTTTGATTGGTATGCACCTTGCAGGGATTAAGACTATGAAAATGGGGTGACTATAGCATACTATGCAAATGAAGTGTCTGTGGCCTACTGACAGGGGATTGGTCAGTTTGTAGCCATGCCTTGCTTTGAAATTGACAAGGAGCTTGTATGTTGAAGCAGCCAACCCACAGAGGTCTTGGAGGCAGAAAGAAGCAGGGAGGAAGCAGAAGGAAAAAAGAAAAGAGCAGCAGAGAGAGGTGGCAAGGAACCTCCTAAAAGAGCTGAAACACAGGCCAAGGGCTGTAATGATGAGGACAGCAAGAGGCCCAGCAGGGGCCCGGTGTCAGCGCGGGTGGCGACAAATGGCAGTGAAGTTGGTTCTGTCTTTTATCTAGCTAAACAAACAACAAAAAAATAACACCAAACTCACTGCCATCGAATTGATTCCGACTCATAGTGACCCCCATTGGGTTTCTGAGGTGGTACATCTGTATGGAAGTAGATTGCCCAGTCTTCCTTCTGTGGAGTGGCTGGCGGGTTTGAGCCACCAACCTGGTGGTTCACAGTCAGATGCCTTAGGCACTACCCCACTGTCTCAACCACCACAGCAGGGTTCTGTTTGTTATCTATCCTCCCCCATGCACTGAGTTTAGCCGCTTTGTTAGTTTATCCTACAGGGACCCAGCTCAAACCAGTTTTGGCCAGCAGACACGTGCATTGGGAGAAACAGAACAAAGTTCTTTGGAACCAACATCTGTCCCTCTGCCTAAGCCCCGACCAACTGATGACAGAAGTGGATATAACTCATCTGGCACTCAAGTGCACTGCAGTAAACGTTGACTGTCCCTTTAAACCAAGGCCAGAGACTTCAGCCAATCCCCAACCAATTCACAATCGAATTTTTGCAATTTTTATGAACATGTATAACTTCCTCTTCTTTAACCTTATAAAAGCCACAACCTAACCCCCACTCAGAAAGTCAGATCTGAGGGAGATTCCCCTTGGCTCCTTACCCAGTACCATGTTTTATTTACTACTTTTTCTTTCATCAAAACCTGTGTGTCCTGTGTCCTGGCTTTACAGTGCACCTGGTGGGGACCCACTTCAGTCTGGCTTCAGCCTGGCCAAGAGGAGTGTGTCTTCAGGGGCTGTAATGAAGCCTGTCCTCAAGGAGCTGAGAGGAGCCTGTCCTCAAGGCCGACAGGCAGTCGGCGTAGTTGAGAGGAGCTGAAAGGGCTCTCCTGCACTGAAGAAGGGAGACTTGGCTGATGTGCTTCCTCATCCCGACCTGAGTTGTACCCTGTCACTTTCTTAACACACCACTTCACTGTAAATGTGGCCCGTGAGTTCTGTGTGGCCACTGCAACAGATTACTGAGCCCAGAAGAGAAGGAGAGAGTGCCGTGGGAGAGATGGCTGCTATCAGAATGGTAAAAAAGGTTGGAGAGTGGAGGTAAGTCTGACCTCCACCACACAGGGCTCAGCCTCGGGCTGATCTTGAATCACACCCCCACCCTCCAAGGTTAGCCATGTAATGACCCTACTACTACCACTGCTCCTTAGATGTTACGCTGTAGTTACCAGTCCCTGCTTTAGTGGGTGCCTCAATACCCCTCCTGCTGGGAGAAGGTAAGTGCTGGTTTCTGAACACAAAATGAGCTTTCTCATGTTTTTCAGCAATTTAAAAATCTGTATTTAGGTTGGACACCTGGCCCATGACCAAGCCTTAAAAGATGCAAGCCCAGCCTTGCCCGTCCAATTCAATGACAAATCCAGGCCTCCAAGGACCTTGAAGTCATCCAGTCATCCACTCTAGCCTTTAGGTGTGACCACATTGACACCCACTTAAGGGACAAGAGGCTTCCTTCTATTTGGAAAGAAAACAAAAAGCAAGAAGCCGCCCAAAGTCAGTGGTCTCATTGACGTTAACTGCACCTCCTGGACTTCAGGGCGCAGGACACTTCTGCCGCCTGGGACTCGAACGCCCTAGTGCTGCTGCTTGGGGTTAGGCATTCGCCTGCCCAGATGCACCAGCAGGGTAAACAACGGCGAGCCTCCGTCCCCAGGTTTTCCTGACGTCTTCCTCCACTGGGCCGGCTCATCCTTAGGTGGTCCTCATTTCTTCTTTCCCACGCTGGAGGGAGCTGATGGGAGAGCTGGGGTGGAGGGCCCAGGTGGTGTTTGCCGACGAGGCTCCTGGGGGTGTCCAGCTGCTAAGGCTGTTTTTAAATTCTAACAGAATTTAAAAATAGAGAATGAAGTAAGCTTAAAGCAGTCGCTTCTCCAGGATGCCAGTGTAGGTATGAAGCATAACTCACATTGAGTCCCTCTGGGGGCTACAAAAACACTTAAGGTTTGGAACCATGGTGGGATTCTGATATTTTTAAAATGGAAGGGGTTTGGTGGAAGGATGCTCACACAGTCTAGCACAGGACCTTGGACATCGTAGACTCTCAATAAATGGTGATAAAACGAACGAATGCAGGTGAGGGGTTGGGAGAATGCTTTGTCTGGGTGAGAATTTAGTTCCCCTGAGATGATCTGTCTCTCACATTTTTGTAGGAGCAGGCGGTATTGTGGGGAAGAGCTCACCTCTAGACCTCAGGCAGACTGAATCTGGCTTCTACTTTCTGACACCAGAGTATACACTGCTCTCTCTCAAACAGCTGCAACTGGCTCAGAGTTGTCTTAGAGGAGGAATGCGGCTTCCCTGGGCTTTGCCAAAACCTCATCCGTTAATAAGGGTCTGCTTTCTGCTGTACTTGTAATCGTTTCAGCTGGAAGCTGAACCATGCATGGCTCAGGAGGTAGAAAAGATCAGCTCGCATCCAGCCATGTGTTCCTGGGCTGGGAATCTGTCCCTTTGTGCAGGAGAGGGAACTAGGGGTGAGAAGGTGGGAAGAGGAGGTCGGGACTCTGTGCTGTTTTTTTCTTTTTTTTTAACTTTGCAAGAGAACCTTGACCTTTTAGCCGATTTTAAGTTCCTCTCCTTGGGAAGGAGACTCAGGGTGACTCAGCTGGTTAGGTACTTGACTACTAACCAAAGGGTTGGTGGTTTTATCCCATCCAGAAGTGCCTTGGAAGAGGGGTCTGACAATCTGCTTCCCAAAGGTCAAAAAACAACAATAGCAAAAAAACCCGGGCCTGTTACCATTGAGCCCATTCTGACTCATGGCGACCCTATGTGTGATTATACAGCAGAACTGCTGCTCCGTAGGGTTCTCTTGGCTGTAATCTTTACGGAAGCAGATGGCCAGGCCTTTCTTCCTTGGTGCTTCTGGAAGGGTTGAACTGGCAACATTCAAGTTAGTCGTTGACTGCAAACCCTGCCATCCAGCCTTGAAACCCTATGGGACGCAGTTCTACTCTGCAACGCTTGGGGTCGCCGTGAGTCAGAACTGACTCAAGGCCGCTGGCTTGGATTCTTTTGGCTTCCTTGGTATCCTTTGAGGGGGGTGGGAAGGGAAGGAAGGTGGGAAGGGAGAGGGAGTTGGAAGGAGGATGCTCTATGGAAGTGATTACGTCCTGGAGAGATAGACATTTTCATAGAAAATAGAGAATATTTTGCAAAAGATGCTCTTGGTTCTGAAAGCACTTCTATGACATAAAAGGGCATTTTGGCATCAGACGGTCAGCTCCTAAGGCAGAGCACCAGCATGAAGTGTGACATATAGTTGGTGCTAAATACATGGACGTGACAGAGGGAACATGTGGTGAACAAGTAGAACGCATGCTGAATGCCACCAGCTTCCTTGGATATCAGTGCAACTGCTTTTCTCAACACCATCCCAGCTGTTTCCTGCCCTTGTGGCAGGCAGCCATCTCTCCCAACACCAGCAGCAGCGCCAACCTGGGATCGTGGCCTCAAAAG